AAAAGTAAAACAGACTCTGTGTGATACGTGACGAGCTGACGTCTCTGAGGATGTGAACGCAGAGCTCCAGGTGCAGACGGAGCCTCCTCAGGCAGCTGTCTCCCTCCAGCAATAACCTTTCACTCCAGCTGTCAATGACCTCAGTCCTGAACCATCCCACACACTGTACGTGCACGATGTCTAACTCTAAACTCCACACAGAGGTCAGAACCCCCCCACCACACACACACACACACACACACTCCTGCAGCTCATTTACAAACTCCCTCCAAAATTAGAAACGTCTCCTTCGTGGTTTTTATATTGATTCTGTCGGGGTGTGTGTGTGTGTGTGTGTGTGTTTAACACAGTGAGAGTTTGGCTTTTACAGTGTCTCATTTCCTCTCTGTTTCTGGGCTGTAATGAGCTGTGTAAACACACACACACACACACACACACACACACAGCCAGTACATTGTTCTCCTTACAGCCTGAAGCTGAACATCATCATGTCCCTGCAGAAGTTTCTTCTCTGACATGTCTGTGTGTGGCGTTCAGGCTCTGCAGGGAAACAGCACTTAAAGTGGAGTAACATGTGTGCAGCTGGTAGGAGGCTCCACCTATCACACGTAATGTGATAGCATGAAAACCAGGACCGGTCGGACCGGATCAGTTTGATATGAGACCGTATCTGCAGTCATTTGAATGACGGTCAAGAGTCTGATTTAGAAACAGGTTCTTCATTGTTTGTTTTTCATCGACTGCAGATCAGACACTCTGAGGGGGGGGGCTAACTTTCAAAAACATAATTTATCATTTATTTAATCCTTTTCAGATATAAGATCATGTTCAGGCAACAACACACAGTTCAACCTGGATCAGTTTTCCTGGATTACTGTTTATTTCAACCACATTTACGTCCAAGAGAAAACGCACATTAATGTGTTTCCATGAAGAAGTGGGAGATAAACAGCTGGTGGAGCTGAACCTCCAGTCTGCACCATTACACCACTGAAGAAGAAGACGGGGACACGGCGGGATGACTGCTGCTTTAAGTTAGATAAGTGTGTAGTGCTGTATGTTATATATGCTGAAAGTGAGATCTTCACTTCCCTGACCAGAGTTTCTCTTTACATTTGAAACCTTTGACATTTTCACTTCTGTTTTTCAGACTCCTCAAACATGGCCGCCTCAGTCTGAACTCTGACCTCTGATTTCCCAGAAACAATAAAGACAAAACTGAGACGGAGAAGCTGAAGACGGGATGTGTCTAATGTAAAGACATTTATTTATTTATTTATTCATTCTTATTAATCACGTTCTTATTTTGAATATTTGCATGACACACACGTCGTCACAACACAGATCATCACCTGAACTGACGGAAAAATAATCAAAATGAAAGATGAAACAAAGAAATAAATAATCCAAATTACAAATGAATTAAACTACACTTTGATACATGTATACAGTAAGTTGTCTATCTCCACACAATCAAGACAATAATGCCTTGAAAGATGAAACAGATCATCTATAATCTACATTTCCTTACTGTCAACAGATCCACATCAGGGAAGGGCCCACGTTTGAATACGTGGTCGACCTCCTCCTTTATCACTGATGCTTTAATATTCTTGTACTTTCAGTTAAATAAGATTTTGAAAGGATGAGTTATTCTTTTTTTATTGCTTCTTTTACTGAAATAAAGGATCTGAGTTCTTCTTCTGTCACCGGTACAGGACGCAGACAGGTACAGACCCTGGATCTGCCTGTGTGAGACATTAACTGTGCTGAACCTGTAGATACGAGACAGTCAGACTCTGTGTTCTTTGTCTGCGCTCAGCTCCAGAGTCAGAACGAGAGAGAACGTCCACATCTGCTCGGAGGAAAACGCCCAGCTCTCCAGTTTCATTTCCACCATTACGAGCAGGAAAAGAGGCGACGAACCTGAAACCTGCGAGTGTTCACAGTCGACTTCTGTCAGTCGAGGGTTCACTGAGACAAATCCATCACATCCCCGACAGCCCTCCTCAACGCTGTCAGGGTGATTGAGAGTAACGAAGAATATATACACACACAAACCGTGGCCAGACACTGAAACATTGTACGCTCCACACACACACACACACACACACACACACACACACACACACCAGCAGCTGTGTGTATCAGCAGGAGGGGATTACAGAGAGGGTTCAGTGTTTGGCTCAGGCCCAGACTGTGAGGATCCTCTCCCCCCAGAGCTATGTGGGACCTGGGGGGGGGGGTCGGTGGTGGGAGAGAGCGAGGGAAGAGGCTGCATACTTCAGTTCAGTTGTAACCCCCAGATCTGCCTCTGACCTCCAGCGTGGAGAACACACATGCGCCTGTGCGGGTGTAGTGTACATCTGGGGGCGTGTGTTGAGGTTTCCAAGGCCCGTCGATGGGGGAGGAAATCCCTCTTTTGTTTCCAAGGAAGTCAAGTTTGTGTGTTTAATGGAGGAAGCTCAAATATGGTGGAAGTGGAAGGATGTATATGTGGCTGGGTCTGACAGCTGCCGAGTCATGGAGGGAGGCCTCGTGTTGACACCCCCGTCTCCTGGAGACCACGTTCATGCTTCTGATTTGTTCTGATAAATATGTTTTCAGAGAATCTCGATCGCTGCCTGGATTGTGTTCAGTGGTAAAGTGTGTGTGTGTTTTCATGTGTGTGTGTGTGTGTGTGTGTGCGTGCTGCTGTTTGAAACACGTGCAGTTCGTCAACATGAATCTCTCCAGAATTTAAAATTAGAAATTAGAATTTCATGTGAAAACTATTTGTGTCCACATCCATGTTTCCAGCTAACGACACATCTGCATCACAGCCAACATCTGGTACAGAGTCAGACATCTGGCCGATGAAATCACGGCCGGGACGTCGTCTGATGAAAATCAACATAAATCTGTGTGTGTGTGTGTGTTTGTGTGTGTGTGTGTGTGTGTGTGTTCAGCTGCAGCAACATTTAAAACGAATGATCACAGATAAGGTTACTACAGGTCATCTTCTTAACCCTACTGTCACGGTGGCTCACACACACTGAAACACCAAGCTGGATGTTTTAATGTTTACACAGTCTGGAGCAAGGCCGGAGGTTTGGTCTCAACATTGGTGGGGGACAAAACACCCCCCACCCCCACCCCACCCCAAAACTCCCCCGGACTTTTCACTGTACACAGTTACAGATGAAAAAACTAAAAGTAAACTTTACTCATTAATGGAAAAACGAAGGATAATTCTGCATCTAACATTAACACCGTCATATTCAGCAGGCCTACAGTGGGTGCTGCAGTTTGATACTAGCTCCTGGCTAAACTAGCACCTTGAGCAGCTCCAGCAGCACGATGCTGCTAATCTCGTGACGCATCAGTACGAAGAATCTTAGGGCACAAAGGCCAATGAGTGATTTCATGCTGACAGATAAATAACTTAAAATAATAAATGATTCACTTTTTAATGTAAATAAAAAATACATGTTTAAAGATGCATCCTGTATCAGACTCGACAAATATGTCAAATATTTCATTTAATAGAATCTATACTACATCTACAGTATCTCCTCTTATCTATACTCCAGTCAGATGGTCAGATATCGTTAGACGACCCTGAGACCGTCTGAAAATATGTGCCATGACCCCCATTTGGAAACATCACATCTCTCCTGTGGCGTCTTTAACCACAGACCCTGTTAAATTGCTCTGAAGACGACCCTCATTATGCCTGTTCACACTGAAACTAAGGAAGCCGCATGAAAAACTTTTCCTCAGTAAATTGATGAAAAGTTCAGTGCGGCGGCGTGAAGTCTCCACGTTCATTAGCAGAATATAAATGTAGGTTTTAGGAGGCAGAGCTGAACAAAGAGAAACAAACACAAAGACTCAGAGGGAGGGGCGCCAGGCAATGGATCCTAATTGCCACCAGGTTGCTCTCCACAGGGAAGTTACTATTGAGTTGCAAGTGTGTGTGTGTGTGTGTGTGTGTGTGTGTGTGTGTGTGTGTGTGTGTGTGTGTGTGTGTGTGTGTGTGTGTGTGTGTGTGTGTNNNNGTGTGTGTGTGTGTGTGTGTGTGTGTGTGTGTGTGTGTGTGTATGTGTGTGTGTTTCTTTGTTCACACGTGGAAATAAATTCATGCATGTTGTTTTTAAAGACTCATTCAGCAGTGACTTTCTCCTCATCACAGCCAACTCTCAGCTGATCACATGACTGATCACATGACTGATCAGAGAAGAAAGAACCAATCAGTTTATTCAGTGGTTTGTTTTTCTGGAATTTCATATGGAATTATCATTCTTTAAACAGTCAGACAGATGTTCGGACAGATGTTCGCACAGATGTTCGGACAGATGTTCAGACAGATGTTCGGACAGATGTTCGGACAGATGTTCAGACAGATGTTCAGACAGATGTTCAGACAAAAAATGTTTAGACAGATGTTTGGATGGAAGATGTTCACAGCAGAGAAGATGTTCAGACAGATGTTTGGACAGATGTTCAGACAGTGACTGTGAATAAAATCATTGTCAGGTTTATTCTGTTGTTAAATGTCTAAAAGGAAAAATAAAAAGTGACGTCACAGACATGTAACAGGATCTTTAAGTCTTAAGGAGTTTGATAAACAGTTTTTATTCTCATGTTTAACCTGGATGAGTTGTAACTTTGTGTTTCACTCATCAGTCTGATGAAGTGATTTGTTTCCTCCTCGGGTCAGAAAAGTGTCTAACTGCTCCTTTAAGCTCCGAGCTCTCCCCCCTTCTCTCCATCTAACTCCTCCCTCCCTCCTCTTTGTGCCTCCTCAGCAAACAAATGGGATCAACCTGTTGTTGCCTGGTCAGGGATCAGTTCATCCGGAGGCTGTCCCCTCGGAGAAGAGCAAGACGTAGGTCTAAACTCGAGTCAACGGAGACAGTAAAATCCACCGCCCCCCCCGAGGCCCCCACCCCCCCACCCCCCCTCACTGTGCTCTGACGGTCTTTTCCTTCCAGTCCACTTCAGCAGCACCACAGCAGCCCGTCTGTTTCCCACGCCTCCACCAGCAGCCTCTAGAAAACCTCTTGAATCAGCAAACACTGTGATATGCGGAAACGGACACTTTAAAACAGCCCTGTTTTCTGGGGGGGATTATGCACGTTTCAAACTGGACTAACGATGTAGGGATTAAACCGAAAAGCGGCCTCGACTTTTTCCTCTGGACAAACTGCACTGAGGAGGACGTAAACTTTTCGGTCGGAGCGGACGGACGCGGCGCTCGGTTTCCCCAATGTCACCAGCACCGAGCGGGTTATGAGTGATTTTTATGACCGTTTTCTAACCGTTTGGACCTTTTCCTGTCACCGCACTAAATTTCATGGACTGTTGTTTTGGTGGAAACGAGCTGAAGGGAGGATTTCCACACCTCAGGAATTTCGACGCCAGAAACTGAAGCGTCCGTGAACGCAGCAGGTAGCTAGCTAGCTCGTTAGCTAGTTAGTGTTTGTTTTTAGACGTTTAAAAAAAGACAAAAACGTCGCTGAACTTGACGTTAACGCTGGTTGTTATGTGTTCAACACGCGGCTAACGTTAGCTTAAGGTTTTCTGAGAGGTTTCCGGGTGTTGTGGGCGGTTTTTATTTTTTAAACAAACTGTAAGTTAGGTTTTAACAACTCAGCCTGTGAACGTTAGCTGTTGAAGCTAACGTCCAAACATGCCGCAGCTAAACGGCGGAGACGGAGACGACCTGGGAGCTAACGATGAACTGATCGCCTTCAAAGACGAAGGGGAGCAGGAGGAGAAGAGGAATGTGTCCGCGGAGAGGGACCTGGACGACGTCAAGTCCTCCCTGGTCAACGAGTCAGAGACCAACAGCAGCTCGGACTCGGAGGTGAGTTTTTAGTGACCCGGGCACCAGAAATCAACTTTTCTCCAGAGTCTAGTCAGTGGATCCTCGGTGCAGCTTGCTCCACAATCTCCACAATGCTAGTCTGGCTTTGTTTACATTTGTGTGTGTGTGTGTCTGTGTGTGTGTGTGTGTGGTTTACATGCAGGCAGACAGACGCCCCAAGCCCAATCCAGATTTGGAGAGCAGGGCCAGGCACAGTCAGCTGTTTGAAGAAGGTATGTACTCTCTGTCTGTCACCTTTTCTCCTCAAGTTACGTCTCATTCATGCCTCACCTTCACTGCACAGGTAGAGTCAACATGCTGTGGTGCTCTTTAGTCAATATAAATCCAGTTTTGTACTGGGGGGGGGGGTTAGTGTCAGTCCTGCTGGTGTGTTTGTTTTCCTGCAGAAGTTTTTAATTGTTGAAGGTAGAAGAAGTGAATCCACCGCCTGCAGCGGACACACATTAAACTGAGCCTTTCTTCAGGCTTTAACGCTCTGGTACTTTTTATTTCACGACTTAAAAAAAAAAAGTAAACAGTAATTGCCAGCTGTTAAGCGTGGGGGGGTGTAAGTATTCTGGGGGTGTGGGGGGTGTGGCAAACAGTAGCACAGGAAATGCTGCACAGACAGAGGGAATAATGGATTCCACTGAATTTCAGCAGATTCAGGAAAGTGAAAGTGGGAAGAGGACAAGGCAATGATCCAAAGCAGACCTCGAAATCCACTGTGAACCGCTTCCATGCCACACACACACCTAAACTTATACACATTGTGTTTTAAGTTTAATATATTTAAGTATCCGTTACTTTACATTTGAAGAAAGGCTCATTTTTAATGTCTGTTGACTGCAGGAGTTGGATTCATGTGTTTTACCTTCAAAAATCAATAAAATATTATGAAAGTTTCCCCAAACTTTTGCATGAAACTGCAGCTGTAGATAATTATATCACCTCAGATATAATCAATAAAGTAATAACCTTGTCCTAACAACAAATAAAGGATGTACAGCTCAGAGATCAGTGTCACATCTTAAATCTAGGACTCTGGCTCCATTTCTTGTGTCATAAATAAAATCTTAACATTTCATTATCGTGTGTTTCACCACTTTCTAATCTCAGAAACGAATCCCAGGTCGAAAAACGATGAACACAAAGCAGCGGAGAACGACATGTTCTCACTTTTAAACCTTCGCGTGACTCAAGCTTCAAAGATGCTTCGTCCCACCTTTCCCTTCAGAGCTGCAACAGTTAGTCAGATTAATCTGCAACCGTCTTAATAATTGATTGTGTTATCTCACAGTCATAACTCAAGCAAAGTATGACTCACTTTGACATTTCAAAGGCTAAAGAGAAGATTAATTGATAATGATGAACAGCTCAGCAACCCTCTGTTCCTAGTTCACAGCCACAGTCTGAAGCTCAGGATTAAAAAAAACCCTGATGATGATATCAGAATTATTTTCTCAGAGCTGATCTTTATGTGTAAAATCAGTGGGACTGATTTAAATGTGACACTCTGATGTCTGACTTGTCTCTCAGCGCTGAGGCGGCAGCAGGACGGCGCTCTGTTCCAGCCCTCGCCGTACGTCGGATATCCTTTCTTCATGATCCCAGACCTTGGGAACCTCTGTAGTCCCTACCTCACCAACGGAGCCCTCACACCAAGTGCCCGCACGGTAAGACAGCACACGCACACACACATGCACACACACACACGTACATTAGCAGAGCGTCACGGAGGTCAAGTGATCTGGTTGCACTCAGGTTTGTTGGCCTTGTGGTTGCATCTACCTTGATGTTATTCATCACTCCTGATTGCACCACCCGGGGAGGAGGTTCAGTGACACAGATGAAGCACACTCATCCGGCTGGTGTATCTAGTTTACCGGGACGTTGCCTTCCCGTCAGCAATAAAGTGACAGAAAAATAGAACTGAAGCATCAAACTGATGAGGTGATGGAAAGGAAATTAATCAGCAACTATTTTAATGATCGTTCTGTGATTTCAGTTTCTCTGTTTTTATTATAGTCAAATGAATATTTTTGGCTTTTCCCAACTACTGGTACGACAATTTGAAAACGTCACATCTGAGTCTGAGAATCAGGGACATTTTCAACCATTTTATGACAATTTATAGACTAAACGACTAATTTCTTAATCTAGAAAACAATCAGATCAATCGATGATGACAATAATTGTTAGTTGCAGCTTTAAACAAAGACGGCACCTGGAGGAAAAGGTCATTAGTGTCTGTGAAGATGAGGCGGCAGAGTGAAGCTTCGATCTGATTTACAGGCAGCAGTCGGTGAGAAATAGGTACAGAAAAATAAAGGCAACGCTCAAAACTTGCAGGTTAATGTCGGAGTCAAAGTTGTAACCATCACAAAAAGCAGAAAGAAGAGGCAGGAAACTGAAGACCACCCGTCACATCCACGTCATGCTCAGAAAGAGACCTCATGTACCTGTAAGTGTCACCTGTGAGGAGGTAAAACTGCTGTGTGTCCACAGTGATCCCCAGTTACTCATAGTCAGATTACCAAACATCCAGATCATGATAAACGTTAAAGTGACTCAGCAACAACTGTGAAACCTCTCAGCTTGTGGCCAGTTCAGGACCTGAGGAGGGAAAATGATTTGGAAAGTTTATCACCGTTTGACACTTTGACTGAATATTTCGCTTTGATGAGAACCATCCTCATTTTCAACATTTGAAAAACTCAAATGAATGATGGGTATTTGCGGCGTCCTGCTGCCTGTACAGGGTTTGTCTGTTCGACGTCACATGGACGAATTACTTCACAGGCGTAACTCGAGCCCTGACTCACCTGGCAGACGGCAACAGGTTCGAGCTGCTTCACATTGTCAAGATATTATTGTTTTTCGCACTGAGACCTGGATCCCTCTGACTCATCATTGTCTTGAAAGCTGCCTTTATGCACTGTGTGCGTGTGTGTGTGTGTGTGTGTGTGTGTGTGCGTGCGTGTGTGCGTGTGTGCGTGTGTGTGTGTGTGTGTGTGTGTGTGGGCTGCCAGCGGCCTGTTATGATAAGGCGGTGTGTGATGGGACAGGGTGAGACAGGCCTGGACACAGTCTGTCTCCTGCAGCAGGAATGAGCTCACATCATGGCCGCCGCCGCCGCTGCTGCTGTGCGGTAGATTAGCTGCTTTAGCTGGAAGTTGCACAGCGGGGATCGACAGTGTGTTGCCCAATTTCCCCGTCCCCACAGCTTTATGGAAGCTCAGCGTGGATTATGGGGATACTGGGTGATGGTTTAATACAGCAACACTCATGGCTGCTAATCTAAAAAATTGCTGTGTTGGCAGAGAGAGGAATGTAAGAGAAGACCAGGCAAAAATATTATTGCGAAGCTCGTTTGAGGATGTTTAGCCTCAGGCGTGATGTTGTGCTGAGGTTGTTAGCGTTAGCTCGTTGTTAGCTGATTGTTCAGGCTCAAGTCTGTCTCAGATTTTCATTCCTGTCGACATAGAATTTATTAAGTTTATATTCAACAGCTAACAACAGAAATAGATGTGAAAAATAGATTTAAGGATCGTTTTTTAGTTTCTGCTCAGATATTGCTGACCATGGTGGGGGCTGTGTGTGTCGGGGGTGTTTGTGATGTCAGTATTTTTTAAATCCTCGCAACGCCACTGGCTGGTCGTGTGCATGTAGTGCTACAGCCGGACTCACCATCCTGCTGGTCTTCAGTCTTATTTCAAACTTTGCTCTGAAAATGGTTTTAAATTAAATCCTGTTTAATATTAAGGTCTTTAAAGTCTTACATTTGGGTGGAATTTTTTGACTTCTTTAGTTTATTTGCCTGGTGAACAATTAATCAGTTATCAAATTATTTGCTCTCTGAACATTGACTGATTGATTTTTGCTCTAAATTAGAGTAACAGCACAGATACAGTGAACTCAATTAACATATTTTATATTATTCCAGCTGTGTTTTACTATATTATCGCTCATTATCTGTTTATACAGCAGCCCCCACAGATGGGTTTCCACAGGAGGAGTGCAAATACATTAATAAACACTTACATCACAGTGTTATTTAGCATTTATTAAACGTTTTCATGCTGGTTGTGCAGCTCGGCTCAGGTTCACAGGTTTCTAACGTCGTGATCGACAGTGACACAGATTTGTGATTTCTTCACCATCTCTCTCTCGTTTGTTTTGAAAGTCTTTCCTCTGCGGATTTAGGCCAGACGCACATGTAGGCTAAACACACAGCCAAACCCACTCACACAAACACCTGCATTCCTCAGCTTTGTAATGC